CATAACCTTCCAGTTGACAAAAAAATACCTGAGGAAATAAAGGACTGAATATTTCTGAGGTGTATCAGGTGTGCCAATTACTTTGGTGTGGGGACACCAGTCTGAACCCCGATTGTGGGTGTCTGGAATAACTGGTGAGTCAATCAATTATCTAAAACATAATGGATATAAACAGATGACAAAGATACAAGGTTGTGTAGGATAAGTACTAGGTGAATAATATAGCTATATGCTGTAGGATTTCAGAGGAGAGAGAAATCTGTATGAGTCAGGAGGCCTTCACAAAGGGAATGGGTTTTGACTTGTGTTTTAAAGGATGGACTGGTGAAGGGGATATGGGATAGGATGGGATGGGACTATAAGAAAAAACAGAACAAGGATAGGAAAGCAAGACATTTACAAGACAGCAAGTAAGATTCACATTTATGCAACATTGGAAGGGTTGCAAGTCACTTCACATAAGATTTTCCTAATTTATTCTCATAACCTTGTGATATAGGAAAGTTCAGTATCCAAGGAAAAACAGTATCAAGAGTATTCAAGGAAAAAGAGAAGAAAAGAGGTAATAAACAGTGTCACAGACTTCAGAGAAACCACAAGATCACAGATTTTGAGATGGGAAGGTCCTTAGAGGACATTAAGTCCAATGCTCTAATTTTATAGATTAAATCAAATGCTCCAAGTCACAAAAATATAAAGTAGCAGAACTAGACTCTGAGCTCCATTCCTCTTACTGCATATATGTAGTTTTTTTTGCTCTGTACCACAAGTCAAGGATAAAGACTGAAAGGAAAAGGTCATTGGATTGACAATTAAGGCATCATCAGTTACCATAGAGAGGGGAATAAATAATAATTTAATCTTTCTGCACCTTATTTTCTTCATCTGAAAAATGAGAGCATTGGACTAAATGTCCTCTAAGGACCCTTTCAACTCACCATCTACGATCCTGTGGTCTCTTTGCAGTCTGTAACACTGTTCATTACATCTTCTCTTCACGATTCGCTCTTGTTCCTTGGATTAGGGGTCACTAATCTTTCTTGGTTCTCTTTGTACCTGTCTGACCACTATCTCCTTCCCAGATTCATCTTCACCCTCCTACCAGAGCATGAAGTCAGATTACAGGGAGTTTAACAATTAATGGAAGACAAGAGCGTAGACTAGTTTTTCTAGAAGTTAGCAGTGAAGCGGAGGAATAATAATAATAATACTAATAGGTGCTATTTATATAGCAATTTATTTAGATCATTTTACAGGATCTTTACAAGCTTGTGAATGATGTAATAAACATTTATTAAGCACCTCCTATAAGTCAGATAATGAAGACACAAATACAAAGGATGCCATAATACCTGTTTACAAAGAATTTCCATTCTAATAAGGAGCTCGCTTGAGGGGATAGTAGGACAAAAGGTTTTGTTTGTTTGTTTGTCTTTGTTTCTGTTTGTTTTCATTCTCCTTTGCTTTTGTTCTTGTTTTAAGATTGGAGACCTGAATATACCTGTAGGGAGGAAAAGGACTAGCAGAGAGGGAAAGATTAAGTTTTTTTGGTTGTTTTTTTTGCAGGGGAGGGTTGGGGTAGCTATGTATCATTTGTGAAACAGGCGTATAGTCCTGAAGGAGACTACAGGTAATAGATTCAAGAGGACAATTGCAGGGTTTCCTCTTGGTGGGTATAAGGTCATCTGATGAGTGAGAACATCAAGAAGTCCTGAAGCATACTGGAGGAGACATGAAGGTCATGACATTTAACTTCAATTTTTTTCCCCAATAAACCAGAAAGCTTGGTAATTCAATGAAAGAAAATGCATTAGGACGCAGTTCGGGTTTCTGAGAAAAAGGAGAAGTTTGGGAACATCTGTAGTAAGAAGATAGGTAATCAATTTGTAATGTGCATCTAGTAGTGGTTAGAGAACACGAACTAGCAGGGGACCTAGTAAACTGTTTTGGGACTTCCTCTGGAAGCACTCAGCATCTTGGGGGTAGGAACAGGAAAGGTAGATGGTTGAGCAACTAATGAGGAGGAATGGATAAGACAGGTGGTCAGGGATTACTGATTCTGTAACATCAGAAGGACAAAGGCATCCTTGGTGAGACTGCCAGACTAGAAATACCTCATCTCTCAGATATTCATCTTCTAGCAGTCTAGGATCTGCCTCTGGCTGTACAACAGCTTTCCACAAGCCACTTTAGTTTCTGTTTAATAGTCTTTGGTTCTGTAATTCTGTGGGGCAAGGAATTCAGGGATAAAGGACAGTACCTAGTTGACATGGCTTATTATGGTCAAAACTGCAAAGCAAGAAGAATAAATTTAGAACAGAGGCAATACATGAGGAAAACAGTTCTGGATTGAGAGGCCAGAGGTCCCCACTAAGGGCAATGAGCATGATCCAACAGGAATGAGGAAAGGAATAGAAGAGGCAGGGCAGAGATTGTATCTTGGTGGGAAAATTCAGGATTTAGGATCTTGGAGGTTAAATAGTTTTGGCTGTTAACAGCTAGGTGCAATCACCCTAGTGAGGTGGGATGGTGAATAGATCAAAGATGGCGGTCATGAGATCTGAGGAAAAACTCTCAAATTTCTTCTGACCCTATGATTCTCATTCATCTCAACTGCTGCTGGCATTGAGGCCTTATCATTTCAAACCATCATTCTTGACCCCCATTACATTCTTTAAATATAATGAACTTGCTCCTTCCCCAAGTGCTACTCATCAAAATGAAGATGTAACAACATTGCAAGGGTGATAAATCACAACTAAGGTGTAATCCACAGGTACAAGTGTCTTCTGGCACTATCAAGTATGCCAACTTACTGCTATACAAATCTATGACTTTCCAGTGGTCCTTGAAAAGACACCAAGAACCTGGTAGAAGAAAGAGCTGTAGTAGAACAACCTGTTTTCCTTTCCAAACAATCGGAGCAAACAGTAGCACTCAAGCTACAGTTGGGGTTTAAAATTTTAGTCCTGGTTATTCCCTTTTCTCTTACAAGGACATGACTTTTACCTGGCAAATGAGCAACACAGATGTGATACTGTTGCCATGGGAAACATTCCCTGATCTCTGCACAAATGTTTTATGGTTTCAGGAAGATTTTTAATTCAGATTCTTTTATGATGCTATAGTCATGGAACACCATGATCTCCAAAGAATTGAAAAATGAGGATCATCAATGCATAGACATTTGGTGGGTGTAAACAGGATAAAATGAATTAGAAAAAGTGACAAAGGTGAATCAAAGTGGAAAATGTCATTAAATAAATACATGAGTGAAAAAAGATGGGCTTGTCATGCAGTGAGGGATGACTGACAAACAGGCTGTGTATTCCAATGATATGCTTGAGCAATCAAGAGAAAGTGAGGAAGGCACTTAGCATGTTGACATAGTAGACATGGACAGGATTCGAATAGGATGGGCAGGCATAGGAGCTGTGTCACTGAAAGAAAGGCCCACATAGATGAAATCACTTTGAGAATTTGATGTGCTTAAACCTAAAATATGCATTTTAATAATTTAGTAATATCAATATTTTTCAACAATGTCATTTACAATACACTATTGATAAATAGGAACAGTTAGGTGGCATGCATCATAAATCTTAAATCTTAACATTGCTATTTTTCATTTACTGCTTTTTTCGTGTTTATTGCTCTGTGTTCAGGTCAATTATTTTTCTTTGTTGTTAAAAAGCTTTCCTTCAAGGAATTATCCATGCATACTATTGTCTTGCAATTTTATTTAAATGTTTCTCAGTTATGCATGCTCTCCTCTGAAAAAATGATGTCACAAAAACCCAATCATGACAGACTGCCTCTGGTATTAACTACCCATCTATATGTGGATGTATGTAAAATCCCACTTTAAAAAAAAAAAACCACACACAAAAACACAAAACAGAAACACAGTGCAAGCATATTACTGTATTTTCTGGCTAGGCCAACATTGTGCTTTTCATGATACATTAAAAAAGGTGGAAGGGGAAGAAGCACTGGAATAGAAAACAACAGATGAGATGTGATTAGAGCTTTAAAAGGTAATGCGGTTATAACAGGCTTTTTTTTAAATTGCAGCAAAAGATGGCACCACATACAATATATCTCCCTTCACTACAGAAATCAGAATTGCAGTTCTCTAACACTAAACACTTCATTAGTGTATTTTCTTCCCCTAATCATCTGTTCTCTGATTTTATTTGATTCCATTTATTTAAAAATGCACTATGGAAAAAAAAATGTCAGCCTTACTTGACATTCATGATGAAGCCTGGTACAGAAGACAGGAGTGCGGGAGACTTCAGATCTGTCTTCAATAAATCATATCTAAAATAACCCAGACGTTTCCTCATTGCCACCCAAACCAGCCCGGACTATGCCCATGCCCCACTGGCTGGCCGCAGGGCACACCATGATTCCAGTTTGAGGCTCCACTTCTGGTTTTAGTAACAGCCGGGAGCCAGGCAGGGTGCCAAAAAAACAAAAAACAAAAAAAAAACCCAACTAAAACCAAAAAAGAAAAAAAAAAAAAAAACAAACAAACCCAGAAGCAAGTGGCGCCTGAATGTAGCCTTGGGCGATCTGATCTTCGACTTAGGAAGACCAGCTCGTTCCCAAGGCTACTCGTCCAAGGTGGCAAATGCCATCAGCCAAAAGCAAGTCTTGAGGTCATCTGACTCTGATTGACCTCCCTCCCACCCTCCTTCGGGTAGCGCTCCTCAGCCTCTCATCAGGACCCCTACCATCTTCCTCTTCCGCCCTTCCCCCCTCCCTGCAGCTCCAGCCGAGGCAATGAATGGAGCGCAGCGAAAACGTCTCCGTGGGGACTCGATCTGAGCATGCTCCGCAGCTCCGGGATCCAGGCAGGAAACACAGGCACCGCACACACCCACGTTAGCGCGCGCCCGTCCTCTGCTCGCTCGCCGGCGCCCCTCCCCAATCCCGTCAACCCCACCCTTCCCCCTCCACCCTAGATGCAGGAGTGGGAGGAGGTGGGGGCGGGGAGACGGCCGGGGCTCAGCAAGGCGCGTGCGCGTGGAGGGAACCTCTTGGGCCAAGGACAGTTTCTCGGGCCCAGCCCCCACCCCCGTTGCCCCCATCCTTCATTCTAGCCTCCTCGTCCCCCTCCCGCTCCGGGCCTCGCCACCGACCGACGCCCAGACACTATGGCCTCGCGAGCTCCCGGCCTGGCTCCTGCGCCTCCGCTGCGGCCGGTCACCCACCTGCTCTTTGACATGGACGGCCTCCTTCTGGGTGTGTAACTGCGGGCCGTCTCCCGTCGAGGCTGCGGCGCCCTGGGCTTTCTGTCCCTCTCCTTCCCTCTCTGGTGGCCTGGAGGGGGAGGGGGCTGCGGGAGGAGGGGGTGGGGGCCTCGCGGGGTGGGGGTCAGGTCGGGGGATTCGGCCCCCCGGGAGCCGCCGCCCAGGTCCGCGCCCACGCAGCTGCGGGCGGGCCGGCTTTACTGCGGCTGGTCACGGCCACGGGAGGAGGAGACCCTTTACGTGTCCACCCCTTGTGTGGCCCGCCGGCCCGCGCTTCCCCCGGGTGCGTTACCCGGGGAAACCCCCCACGTGCAAGGAAGCAAACTCGCCTTCCCTCCTGGATGCAGCAGGGGCAGGGAGGAGAGGCCCAGGCCTGGGCGACGTGGTTAGGTGGCAGAATGGATGTCCTCGGCAGCCCCCATCCCCAGGGGAGCCCAAAGGCACCCGTCTGGGGAGCCGCGTGTGTCAGCTCAAGTCAAACACGAGGAATAAGTGAATAATGGTAATAACAATCCCTGGCATTTCTCTATAGAACATACCATGTGCCCAGGCACTGTGCTTAGCGCAGTACAATTGATGGGGCCCCCTGAACCCCTAAACCGCAACACAATGATTATCTCGTTTGATTCATACAACCACATTGGGAAGGTAGGTGCTAGTATTATCCCCATTTTACAGATGAGGAAACTGAGGCAAGTAGAGATTAAGTGACTTGCCCAGAGTCACACAGCTAGAAAATGATTGAGGCTGGAGTCGAAAAACAATAGCCTACATTTATATACTCATCATCATGGCTAAACTTTATGTAATGATAATAATAGCTAACATATCATGCTTATTATGTGCCTGGCACTGTGCTAAGTACTGTACAATTATTTTCTGATTCGATCTACACAACCACACTGGGAAGGTAGTGAGTGCTAGTATTATCACAATTGTACAGATGAGAAAAATGGAGTTTAAGTGACTTGACCCAGGGTCACACAACTAGAAGTGTCTGAAGCCAGATTTGAACTCAGGTCTTCCTGACTCCAGGCCTGCTACTCTATCCACAAAATAGCCTTTGACATGGTTAAAATTATACAGGGCATCCTATTATTCTTTAGTGAGTTTTAAGCTATACGGTGTCCAAAAGTCTTAGTGCATTTAAGCTATTAAATTACAGCTATTAAAGCTGAAAACTGTACTACAACTTTTGTTTCCATGTATCCTGAAAAGAGTCTTTTTAAAGCTCTTGACTCTGTGTGAACTGAAGGCCATGCAGTGGGAGATTTTTGCAGGGAAAAAGATTCATAAGCTCATTCTCTTAAATTAAACAAGTACTTATTAAGCAGGTTACTATGGACCTGCTTACATCATAGAGTTTATGGCAGAAAGAGGATATTGATCATGTATCTACCCTATGCTGCAAGTAACTTGCCCAAAATCAAACAGATAAGAAATAACAGAATCAGGACTAGAACTTAACTCCCCTGTCTCCAGATTTGGAGTATGCTGGTAAATGTTTAACAACCAGCTCTCTGTTATAGAGGATTCAAATCCTGCTGCCTGCTGGCATTATGCAGCTAGACAAGTCACTTCACCATTAGGTCATATTGGTGTTGGGAGCTCCAAGTGAGAAGCCGCTCTATCAATACAGATCAACATTTTCTCAAGTGTTACACAGGGTCACACATCCAGTATGTGTCAGAGGCAAGACTTGAACCCAAGTCTTCCTGATTTTAAGTCTGGACTCTTTATCCATTGTACCACAGTACTTATCTGCTGTGCACATAATAGGTATTCAGTGAACATTTGAATTTGAAAATGTGGTAGTTGGATCACATGCTTTCTAAGGAGGAAGGAAGGGGATTAGCATTTATACAGTACCTAGTATGGTCCAGGTGATTTTTACAAATGTTATTTCCTTTGATCCTTACAACAACCCTGGGAGGTAGGTGTCATCATTATCCCCCTTTCATGGATCAGGAAACTGAAGCAAACAGAGGCTAAGTTACTTGCCCAGAGTCACACAGCCAATAAGTGTCTGAGGCTAGATTTTATTTCAGGTCTTCCTGACTCGAGATCTAGAGCTCTTGCTGCTTTGGGCTTAGCAGCATCTAAGGTTTCTTTCAGCCTTGTTATTTTATGAAATTAAGTTTTAGATGCTCAGTGACTTGCCAGTCACCTAGCTGATCAACTACTAAGTGTTAGAGGCTGCACTGGAACTAGGGTCTCCTGAATTCAGTATTTTCTGCCATCCTATGGGCATACATTGATAAATTAGAAAATCATCTTTCATATACATACGTGTACTATAGGAAATCTTTAGGATCTGTGATAAACAATTGGACTGTTAATTACACATATTCAGTAGTATGTATTATCTTAACTAGAAAAATTATTATTAGCTATACCATATAAAAACAAGCCCAAGGCAAAGCAGAGCTGTAAACTGAAAGCTGGCTACTCGTATTTTCTGTTCTTGCCTCCAGAAAGGACACTGTACGTTTGGAGAGGAGCATAAAGCCATAAAAATATTAGAATTGGAAGGAACTTTTTGGGTCATGGAATCACAGCACCCAACTAATATCTGAACCACATGTTTGCCCCTCTGTTACAAAAGTGGTCTACTAGCCTTTGCTTGAAGACCTATAAAGATGGAAACCTATTTCCTGAGGCAGCCAGTTCCATTTTTGGACAGCTCTGAAGCTTAGGAAGTTTTTCCCTTACTTTGAACTCATGAAATTATATCTCTGAAACTTCTGTCCGTTATTTCGTATTTAATCCATTTTCTGCATGATAGCCCTTCACATACATGAAGATTGCCATCACATTCCCCCCGTAATTGCTCATATAGATGATTCAGTTGCCCCTTGCTAGGTGACTTGCTGGCCCAGGTCATATAGTTAAGAGAGATATAGTCTTAAGGCTTACATCTTCAATAAAGTGAGAATGGTGGCTGAACTGTACAATGAATCTCTCTAAGTTCCCCTACATTCTTGAAATCATGTGGTCTGTCAGCAACATTTGTTCAGTGAATGTTTATTAAATGAATAAAGTTAGATAACCAGGTGATTTGGAAGGTGAGGAAAAAATTATCCAGTGAAGAAAAATGTGTTAAAATTGAGTGTCAGTGACAAGTTAACCTGTAAACTTGGTAAACTTAGCCCTTTTGGAGATTGTTTTCAAGTAGTGTATGGTCCATTTGTAATTCTTAACTAAGGTTGCTTAATGTATGGAGAGTAATTACAAATAGTGACAAAGGCTTAGAATTTAAATTGTACAATTCTTTAGATAAACTGAAATTTTGTCAAACTAATTAAACTTACTTTGCAAAGTTCAGCAGACCTCTTTGTTGCTATTGATTTTCTTTACTTATTTTTCTTTTTACCTCTTCATATTGCAGTTTTATCATTAGAAATTTTTACTAAGCAAACCTGGTTTGATCATGGGAGAACTAGGCACCAGTCATATTTTGTTCCTTCTTGGGCACCTCATCCTTTGTTTAACAGCAGCCATTGTTTTTCTAAGTAGATTTGTTCTGGGATATTTGATGCTTTTCTTTAATTGATTGTCTGAAACAAATTATAATATTTATTAAAAATGCTAATTTTTTCTATTTTTAGCATTGTATTTTCCACAGCAGTAATATTACAAGAAGGGAGAAAATAATTTTACAAAATATACTACTCACTGTAGTATTGGTTAATATCAACTCTCAGGCTGCTTTTCAGCTCTGATTTTTAGACATTTTGGTCAAGTATTTTGATAGACACTTATGAGTGTAATAAACAATTCCTTGTACCCCACGCAGTACAGGATTTTATAGAGGCATTTTGTACTAGTGGGCTTTATTAATTGTAGGACACATTAAAAAAAAGTCAAAAGAGACCATTCCGCTGCTTTTTCCTTCTCACCACTGATATCTTTGGCTAAGTTGTCAATCCACTGCCTCTTGTTTGGTTGAAGTAGGCAGGTACAGGGGTAGAGACAATGCTAGACTTAAAGTCAGGAAGATCTGAGTTCAAATCATGTTTCTAACATTTACTAGCTGTGTGACCTTGGGCAAGTCAATTAACCTCTCACGGCCTCAATTCATCATTTGTAAAAGGGGAATTGGGGGCAGCTTGGTGGCTCAGTAGATAGAGTGCCAGGCCTGGAGTCAGGCCGGAGTTCAAATAGGACCTCAGATATTTACTAGCTGTGTGACCCTGGCCAAGTCACTGAACCCTGTTTGCCTCAGTTTTCTCATCTGTGCAAATGAGCTGGAGAAGGAAATGACAAACTATGATGGTATTTTTACCAAGAAAACCCCAGAAGGAGTCGTGAAAAAGAGTCAAACATGATTGAAAAAAAACAACTAAACAACAAAAATAGAAATTATAATAGTGCCCAGATCACAGAGTTGTTGTATGGATAAAATTTAACAATAAAGTTCTTTGTAAACCTTAAAGCATTTTATGAGCACTAGCTATCATCTTCATTATCATATTTTGACATAATTGACATGCTGATTGACAGCTAATCAAAGACAAAGTGCAAGAATCCTCTGCTAATTAGGTACAAGAAGAATTTGCATCCTCAAACTATTGCTGAGCAACATCCTCACAGCCACAGAGAGGGTGTAGGGAGTGGCATTCCACCTGTAGTTTTGGCACTCCCAAATACTGCAGTGTGGTTAGAGCTTACCTGGATATATAAAATACCAAGTAAAATCTTTCTAATAATTAATATGAATGCTGTTTAACAATGATTCGCATGATTGCAAAGAAGGGCAGTGAAAAGAACACTGGATTTGAAGTTAAAATCCTCCCCCCATTATGGATGAACTGTGTTACCCTAGGCAAATCACTTAATCCCTTTGGTCTACACCTGAGGTGGATGGACTGCATGGCCTCTGAAATACTTTGTGACTCTAGATTTATCTTTTGTTACCTAAATAATGAAAGGATGTGGTAAGGAAATTGAAGTGTGATGCCAGTCTTTGAGAAATCATAAAGGGAGAATAAC